ATATATATATAAAACCTAAAAAAAATTGAGATCAGACTTTCAAATTTGGAGAAGTGGAATAAATGTATGTTTCCTTATTCTTACCATTAAGTACAATTAAAAACCTTGTTTACTATGAACAAGCATAAGACAACTGAAAGCAGAAGCAGAGAGGACAGACTAGTTTGGAACTTCAGCACCCAAGGGACAGTTACATGGTATTCTCTGAGTTTTCTTTTCATCTTCTATATCCAAGACTAGGTATGGGAGAAGCCAGCTATGTAGAAATACCAACAAGCACAAGCACAATATAAAAATATGCCCTCATAAAAGTCCACTCTCTCTAGTAAAAGTACCAAGAAAGGGTTAGTCTAGGGAGGGGACAAACCTTTTAGAAAATACGGCTCTTGTAGACAAACCCCACAGAAAAACCTGAGGCCCCCACCCTTACACACATAAGGACAGATCAAGTGGGAAGCAGAGAAACCATAAAAAAATGCTCAACACCATTAGCTAGAAGGAAAATCTCTTCAACCTAGGCTGAGCCATCACTGCACTCCCACCCAAATAGGGAAAAGCAGCAGTGTCAGCATCAAGTGCTGGCAAAGATCAGAACTGCACCCTCCAGCCTCACTGGTGGGAATATGAAAGGGTTGGAAAAACAGTCCGGCAGTTTTACAAAAAAAACCAAAGCTACCAAAACACTCCAGCAATGGTACTCTGGGCATTTATCCCTGAGAAACGAAAACCTGTGCTCACTAAAAAAAACCTATACATGACTGTTTATAGATTTAGCCTAAAATTGGGAACCCCAGATGTCCTTCAAGAGATGATCAGTTATATAAATTGCAGTACATCTGTTCCATGAACTATAACTGAGCTCCCCCCCACCCAAAAAAGAGCACACAATTGATAAATGTAATTCCCCTCCCTAGACTAACCCTTTCTTGGTACTTTTACTAGAGAGAGTGGACTTTTATGAGGGCATATTTTTATATTGTGCTTGTGCTTGTTGGTATTTAACATAGCTGGCTTCTCCCATACCTAGTCTTGAATATAGACGATGAAAAGAACTGTTTTTAAAAAAAAGCAGCAGCAACTGATCCTGAAAGGTCATACTTAAGACACTACTTCTACAACATTTGTGAGCTATCTAGAAGACCAAAAAAACAAAATCAAGGACAGGCTGCTCAGGGCACCAGGGGAAGGTGGGACAGGCAGAAGCAGGACAGCCATGAAGGGCGACGTGAGCCTGGCTGCGGTGACAACGTGCCCTGCATCTCTGTGTCTGCCAATGTCCTGGCTGTGAGACTTACAGATTCCCAAGGTGCCACCATCAGTGAAAATGCAGTGAATTTCTCTGTATTATATTGTTGCAGTTTAATCTACAAGTATCTCACAATAAAAATGCCATTCAAACATGTTTGTAAAACATGATCTTCAACCACAAATACTCTAATGTGAGTATTTGTATAGCTGAGAATATGAGAGTCGAATAAAGGCATTTTTGACTTACAAGATCTGAGAAGATTACTTCCCATTCATGCCTTATCAAGAGGTTAAATGGGTTTCAGCAAAACAGCAAGTAAACCAAGATGGCACCCATGATATCTACAGCCACACGCGTGGGCCTGCCCTAGAACCTTGACTCATCTTGCCCTTGTGCTGATGAAGTGCCTGCCTGTTCCCCGGGGCCTGCTGTCCACTGAGGATACGCCTCTCATCCCACAAAAGCTGACCTGAAAGAACTAAGAAGCAGTGCGTTAGAGGCAGCCCACAGGCCGACCACTTGGTCCTCCTAGCCAGGTTTCTTACAGAGGCCCAGTCTTCCTGGTTCACTGCCCGACGCTCCAAAGGTCGTAAGCACATTGCAAGGACTTACTGGTGTGCCACTCCCTGATTTTCTGGGATGAGTGTCTAAAATTCCCAGGGATGCACAGGGCAGATAATGAACTCTGTCCAGCTTCTCAGTTTTCAAAATTAAACAATAGATTGTTAGGTATCCATACAGACACGACAGGTTTATGGAAAGGGTAATAAAAGATTAACACATGAGTCAAGGCAATGGTTAGTTCTGGGGAAAAAAGGAAACAAGTAGGAGAGACACATGGGACATTCTAGAGCAGTGTAAGGACCTATTTCTTGGCTTGGGGTAGTCATGCATGGGTTTAATTTTGTAATATTTTGGATTGTACCTGTAGCATATATGTGAATTTGAGTAAAAAAAACACTCAAAGGGCTAACTGGAGCACAGATATTACACCTTTGCTATTTCCCCAGATGGACATGTGAATAAGAGTCACTGAGAATTTGATTCCATGCCACTGGAAAGCTGCACCTTCTAAGGAAAGGAGTGCCCAGACTGTGGCGGCACCCAGCACAGGAGCTGTGAGTGTGTGAACATGTTACAATGGCTGCATGATGACGGGAGGCATCTGCTGCAGGAGAGCCTTCAAATCCTAAGATTCTGTGACTGTATGACTTGAAATCTTCACTACATACAAAAAAGTCTTAATCCTTTAACAAAAGAACCACAGCCCTTCAAATAGGGGTGCATGTTCTGTCAGGCTTGGTGAAAGGGTACACAGTTGTTGCACAGAGTATTCTATTCACCTGACTTCAGGATGAACTACCAGAGCTGGAAAAATGAGGTAATGGCAGCAGCATGGACTAGATGTCACAAATGCCGTCATGCCTCTAGTTAGGTGATTACACTCTCAGGCAAAGAACAGAATAAAGCAAACTTATTTGGAAACCATAGGCCACACCAAGTGAAACAAAAATATCTATAAATTCACTCATGTGCAAACATGCACATCATATTATCCCTACCCTCAGGACTAGCACCTAGTAAAGAGAAAAACATGTTTAAGGTCAGCACTAACATATGTAAAACACTCATCTTTCCGCCAAAATTTCCCCAAAATTATAGATTTTTTCCCCCAGTTATCACTCAAACACCACAGACAGTAAGTATTTCCCACCAAAATACTTTATCAAATACACACAGGTATGCAGGTATTCATGCATTCACTCAGTCACCCATTAGGTGAGGTCAGCCCGAACAGTCCAAGTTGGTTGGTAAAGCTATCTAGACCAAATGGAACAGGCAAGAATTCACTTTCCTCCTCAGAAGCAAATATATATACCTCAGTTTTTGAAGTCTATCCACTTCTTCAGCTTTGAGTTCATGCAACTCCTTTGCTCTTCTCGAAGTTTCAGCATCCAGCCAATCGAGTCTAGAAGAGGATACAAAAGAGTCACCCCAACTCTCCTCAAAGCAAAGTCAAGACCCCGTAATCTCCAATCTTGGCTCCACTAGACTTTTTAGGTCACTTCAAAAGCCTTTAAGCAGGTGGAGAATCAGTAAACACAAGAAGTGTAACTACACTGCTCAACAATCACAATTAGCTGCCAGAATAGCTAGAGAATAGGCCCACTTCAGCTTTCGCAAACTCAGAAACAAATTATTTACCTCTGTTTTTGCACTTTGCCCATTTCTTCAGCTTTTAATTCTTCTAGTTCCTTCAATCTTTTGGAAGTTTCAGCATCAAGCCAAGCAAGTCTAGCAGACAGTACAAAAGAGTCAGACCAGTTCTGCCTTGACCTGCAGGTTATTACACAGACCAGGAGTCAGGACCCACAGAGTTTAATCCTAGGTCCATTAAAGACGCAGTCAGTAAAAAGCTTGGAAAGCTCTCCATGTGACAGTTCATGTCAATAAAAGACATTTATGTACAGAAGTACTCCCAGTTAGCAGAGCAACAAGAAACTGCCCACGAGTGTTCTTAAGAAAACCAGGCATCACTGTGCGCGGATTTCTAAGGATTTCTTGTTCAACTATAAAACAAAGCCCTTGCTATGTAGTTTCAAATTTAGAGAAAGAAAGGGATTACCAGAGGCGCCACATAGGCTCAGGGAAGCCAGATAAAAGCGGAAGAGAAAAACCAACTCTCAACAATTTTATTGTATGTGAAAAGGCTCTGAGTCTTTCAATTTGGAGAGGTAAATATTATCAAATTATTTAACCGCCCACTGCATTTTTGTTTTTCCAAAATTTTAAGAACAATTTCAGCCAAACAAATGCAGAACCACCTGTTTTCACTGCTCTCTTCTCATGGAATGTTCTCAACTCCACCCCCAACCCCTCCTCCTGTATCTTAAACCTATTTTTCAAGCCCTGACTTAATGGCCACCTCTCTCATAAAGCCTCGGTATCTGCAGCAAATGCATGCTGTTCCCCCTCTAAAGGCTTTCAGTCCTTAACCCCTCAGCTCTCAGTTCTGCCTTAAAGGAGCGCTAGCGACAAAGTCTCCCTATGGCATACAAATAAGGTGCTGGGATCATGTCACCGCACAGGTGGCGACTGTGTTGCATGCAAAACAAACGACTGGTAGACAACTGACACTTACATAATTTTTGAATGAATAAAATAAGGAATAAGAGAGAGTCCCTGCAAGGGATACAGTTTAGTGAAAAGACAGAAGAGTTCACGTCTGAGTCTCTGTGAAAAGGAGTCTATTTCAAAGTCTTTAATTTTCAAATATTTGAACACCACCAGCGCAAACCTGGCTGCTTCATGCTCAACTGCACCTCCAAAGTGACTTTCTTCTTGAACATCTTCTTGCTGAAGAGACTGTTCTTTTATGGCATCTTTAGCTCCAGGTTTCACCCTCAGCCATGCAGCACTGCAAAAAATGAAAGGGTATATGCTTTGTAATCATTTACTCTGCATCCAAAGGTTCACATCAAAAAGTGCAGGCCCCACACCCCTATGTTTATTGCTGCTTTATTTATAATAGGAAAGACATGGAATCAACCCAGATGCCCAAAAGTCGATGACTGGACTGAAAAGAGGTGGTACATGTACACAATGGAATATTACTCAGAGATCAAAAAAGATAAACACATGTCTTTCGCAGCAACATGGATGGAGCTGGAAGGGATCATGCTTAGTGAAATAAGCCAGAAAGAAAAAGAAAAAGACCGGATGGTTTCACTCATAGCAACAGCATAAAGCACCAGGAGAGAAAATAGTAATAATAATGAATAGCCATATACCAGAGACATTTTACAGGGGTGGAGTAGGGAATGGGATCAAAAAATGGGGCTTGGGGGGCCCTCCCTGGTGGCGCAGTGGGTTAAAGCACTGCACTGAGAAGCTAAAGCCACTTCCGCATGAGTTCGATCCCCACCTGCCCCAGAGGTGACCACATGGCGAGGCAGACCTCTCCTGACCCGCCCGCTGCTCCCCTCAGCAGTGTACTTCGTCGATCTGCCTATTCGGCTCCTCTCTCTGTCTCTGGTGAATCACCTCACCCTCCACATCTCTGGCCTGTACCCCAGTTCCATATGAATAAATAAATAAGTCTTTAAAAAAAAATGGGGCTGGGGGAGGGAAGTGCACTGGACTATGGTGATGGCACACGGGTGAATTGTGGTGGGAAGCCCACAGGGATTGCAACTAAGATGGAAAAGGGCATAAAATGATGTAAAAATAAACTATTACATTATTAAAAAAAAAAAAAAAACAAAGTGGGTGGAAAAAAAAAAAAAGTGCAGGCCCAGTGGGGTCTACAGCACGGGGTCCTGAACCAGAAGCTGAGTGGGAAGAACACCTCCAGGAGTCAGGCTCAATGGCAAAGGAGAGCAGTTCTCCTTTGCTTTCACAGAGCAATCACTATTTTAAATGGAAGGAAAAAAATATTAGTTATAGATGAATGACAACAAAGGCCATTACACCATGGATCTGGGTCACAAATCACATCCCACATTACCAAGCAACTGTGTCCTGAGTAAGGGCTAACCTAGCACGGTGAGTCCACAGCCCGGCCCTCACCTGTCACACGCATACCCTAGACAGTCCACTGCAGACTTGAGTTGAATACCAACCTTAGCTAAGTGAGGTTTTTATGATCTTACCAATTAAATTCACATCTCTAACCAACATGCAGCTGAAAATACAGAGTTTACAGCAGAGAAATAAAAACTAAAGGTCCATTATGAAATCAGAAGATCAGATTCTAGTCCCAGCTCGCTCTGTGACACAACCAAGGACATTATCTCACAGATTGTTTCTTCAACTTTAAAATGAAGGTCGAAGGGCAGCCATGACCATTCATCGGAATCACTCAAAGCCTTAAGGTGAGTCCCGGGAGCATCTTACCCGCTTCTCCAACTGTACTGCAGAGTGCGGCACCTGAGTCACCATCTTCTCGTCCCTTTCTATTTCCGACCTCCAGGTCCCTTCTGTTCTCCTTCAAAACCTTTGGCCCCATGGTAAACAAGCTTCCCCTGGACCTGTCACCAATCCCTCAAAGGCTATTTCCACTCATTTCCTGCTGTCCTGAAGGACAGGACCTTTTTTCCAGCTCTGAGGCGTGGCGGCCCCTCCTCTCCAGGTGCTGAGTGACATGAGCATTACCCTGCTGTCCCTGCATTCAGGACAGTGTCTATGACATGTGCATGGTTTCATCATTTAAAATTATCTTGAGTTGGAGTTGGAATTACTTTAAAGTGTTCACTTAGCAAAGAGTTAACTGATGTCCAGTAAGAGTGACTAAATGCTAGGCACTGTGCTAGGCGGTAGCCATTCGGGTCTGAGAGGCACAGTTCCTGACCTCAAATGACTGGAGTCTACTGCGGGAAGACACAGTGAAGCTTTTGAGTTTCTGTGCAAGGACACACACGACTGTGGCTGTTGGGTGGCCCCTGCAAGGAACCAACAGGCTTCAAAAGAAATACTGCCAAGTGCTACTAACCCAAGTAAGTATTTCTTCTTAATGGGAACTAAGGCTGCTGCTATTTGCCCTAAGCAATAGTTCTCTCTTGATTTGTGTGTGTGGAAGAAAAATAAGGTGTGCTCATAGAGTCACCTGACTTACATACCACTTAGGAGACGCTGGAGGGGATGTGGGGTTTGGAGGTATCCAAGGAGTCCTGAGGTCTTTTACAGGCTGTTGGTTCATTTTTAATCTGGATGAGACTGTTGTTTTTTGCAACCTGCTTTTGCTGTGAGACTGAGTTGGTCTACTTTTTTCAGTCTTACAGGGTCCCTGTGAAAGGTAAATAAGAGTTATAAAGTCAAATGGATACCAAAGAAACTGATTCTAACTCTAGTTTACTGACGCTTAGTGTCCCTCTGCTGCTCGTGCATCTGGGAGCACGAGACCTGGCTGGGAAGCGCAGCGTAGCACGTGGAGCAGAGAAAACACACTGATACATCTCTGCTGGGTGGGGGAGGGGCGTAAAAATGAGAGTCCCCGCCTTTGCTCTCTCTCTGTACATATAAGATATATAAAATATAGAGATATATTTTTTGTTGGTTTTTTCCTAGTTAAACAAATCAAAAAAAGATAAACTAGAAGACATTCTCGCCAAAACACTTAACCTCGCCATGTATCAGGTTTCTCATCTGTAACGTGGGAAATTCTTCAACAGTTTCTAGAAGGTGAAACAGGCTACTATGGAGTAGGAGACAGTGAGGGTGGGAGCACCACCCCCTCAGGAGAATGAAGCAGGCTATGCGTGCATGCAGTGGAGCGCAAGGCTGCCCCTGGAGGAGAGCCCTGGGCCACTGTGCACAGGTTCCCCAGACTTCCCAGGGGCCACCATAGGAGTCTTTTTTGCAAGAAAAAAAGACCTGACCCTAACCCATGATCTGTGGGTACCTAGTGACTACCTTATTCTGGGGGATCACCTGACCCAAATTGGTTTCCTACAATAGCCTCTAGCTAGCAACACCAAGTGACAGAAAATACATCAAAAGTTTCCAAATCAGGATGTCATCTTCTGGATAGTTCCCCTCTGGCTGGCTCCCAGAGCCATTTTAGAAAGTATTTACCTGAGGATACCTTTTAACACTGAATGGGTATTTATCTTAAGCAGGAATCAAATCTTAATCCCCTCAAATTTCACACTTCTAACTCAGAAGCAGAAAAAAAAAAGGATTTCAAAATAGCCTGCCCAATTAGGATCTTCCTATCAAATTATTTAAGATCTTACCAATACAGGACAAGAGAAAATAGTCTGACAGTCTGTACTAGGTCAACATTAAAAATGATAATTTTTTTCAAAACAAAGTAAAAATAACCTGAGGCTAAACTAAATCAGCTGTGTTTTGAGAGCCAGACTCAAAGGCACTGGCAACTCCAATCCTGGCTCCCCCACTCACTGGTCTGTGTGACCTGGGACAATGTGAGGCCAAGACAGATGGACCAAAACCAAGAAATGGTTTTCTTACTTGCTGTAGTCTTGCCGGTACCATAGTATCTTTCTTCTTCGATGGTAGATTCTCAGCCACAGGCCTCTTTTTTGCTGTTTTTGTTTTGGCCATGGCTAATATCTCTTCTTTGAAGCTTGTATTCTGCTCTAGAATAGATGGGGCTTCTTCTGGGAGAATGTTTACATCTAATGCATCAGGCTCATTTTCCAAGTTCTGGGTCACTGGAAGCTCTCTATCAGTTTGGTACTTATCTATAGGGAGATTTCAGAAGGACAAATTAAGGGAAAAGCTATTCAAGTCAAGGTGGTGAACATGATCCTCTATGAACGTGCACGCCCCAAGTGGCTACCCCAGGCCTTCTGAAAGCAGAGATGCTCTTTTCGCAGAGATGCTCGCATCCCACAGCTTCTACTAACAGAAGCCTCCATGTCATGGTTGACTCCTTATGTCCCACACCACCCACCTTCACCCTTTCTCTTGGTGTCTTTGACCCTAATGGCTAAATATGTCTTGTACTGATCTCCGCCCTTCCTTTGCTCGTGACCTTCCCAAGATCAGGCATGCAGTGTTTGTGGCTACAGTAATAGTATCTCTTCACTGGCCTCTTCCTCATCTTCAATCACCCTTTCACCTGGCTACCAAAATCACTACTCTAAGATGTAGATACTTAAGTGTCACTTCTCAAAATCTTCAGTGACTCCCAATTTGATACAGAATAAAGGCTGACCTTCAAATATGACTTTCAACCTTCAGTGGAAGAGGAAAAAAGACTGTCTATCTGAGGATGTTTTCTACATAGAAAATTCAAGAGACCATTACAACTAAGAGAGTTCAGTAAGGTTTACGGATAAAAGAAAAATGCACAAAATCAGTATCATTCCCACATGTTAAGGTGACTATAGAAAAGAGAAAACATCCCATTGTCAAGAAAACTATAAGGCACTTAACAAGAATGTAAAAACACTGCACAAGACATTTATTTAAAAAATTAAAGGTATTTTTAAAAGACAACAGAGAAGGTATGAACAAATTGTTTATATGAGTGAAAAGAATATTGGAAAGATACCAGTTCTCCCCAAAGTAATCTGTAATTTCAAATGCAAATTCAGTTAAAATCCCAACAGGTAATTTTGGTGCATCTAAACAGGTTGACCCTAAGAGTCTCATGAAAAATGAAATTCCAAGAATAGCTCAAATGATTCTCAAGAACAACAACAAAGTGGGGAGTGGGGCGGGGTGAAGTTTTATTCACTTAGAGAGATGTGTGTGACAAACTGTACTGATGAAGCCAGGGGGAGCAGAGGAAAGGCAGGACCCAGCGAAGCAGGATGGCTGTCGGCGGCCTCACGATACGTCATTGGGTGTGAACGTGTCTGTTCAACACAGTGCTGAGACTGTAGATTGTCTATCCACAAAGGAAAACTGGATTTTTACTAATTAGTTACGTAATTGGATTCCAAACAATGCCTAACTTCCAAAAGGAGTAAAATCCTAAATAAGGAAGGGAAACTTTAAAGTTTTTAGAAGAAAAGAGAGGAGACATCAGGGCAGATAAAGTGTTCGCTAACTCAAATATAATATTGAGGTATTTAAATGTAATTGCACTAAGCTACAACCAACTTTTGACTGAAAAAAACCATGAAGCAGACAAGTCAGAGGAAGCAAGGAGATATATATAGTACATGTAATTGATTTAGGATTACTATTAAAATATATAAAGAGCATCTACAAATCTATAAAAAAATCCAATAGAGAGATAGTTAAAGGAAAGAAACTGGTCATTTAAAGAGAAAGCCTGAACTGTCAATAAAGACACGAAAATATTATGATGAGCAGTTAAGGAAATCTAAACTAAAAATGAGATAAACTAGTAAGAAAATCTAACCTAAAAATGTTCTGTGCAAACATTCAACCCAGAGGAACTCTCAAACATGAACACTCAAAGACACAGCAAGGATATTCACTTCATTGTTTATGAAGAAAGTGGAAACAACCTAAATGTTCACTAGTAAGAACTGAAAATAAACCACAGGAAAACATATAGAGCAGTTAAATTAATAAATTATATTTCATGTATTGATAGGAACAGGCTTAAAAATCTGAGTGAGAATAAAGTAAACTACAGAATGATACTAATATTGTAAGAAACCATTTACATGAAATGAAAGGAAGTCAACCAATGACATATTGTTTATGACTAGATACGTAAGCAGTACAATTATAAAAACAGAACAAGCATAACCTACGATAAGGGAGGGGAATAAAATGGGAAGAGATTTTATAAAAGGGGCTTTGGCTATAGCTGTAATATTTTATTTCTTTAAAAAGTCCTGAAGCAACATGTGAAAACTGTCAAATCTGGACAGTGAAGACACAAGTGCTTATTATTTTCTGTATATTTAAAACATTTCAAAAAAAAAAAAAAAGGAAACCTACATTCAGACTATTTTAATTGCAGTACATCAGTACATCAAGGGTCAGGTTCTCCCTACAGCTCTTCTTTATCTGATACTGATACTTTTCAAGACCATTCAGCTTACACAACAAGGAAATATATCAATAATTTGGGAGAAAAGAATGCTGACTTGAATCCTTGGTCTATAATTTTTTTTATTAGTGCACAAGTTTATGTATAGCAAAGCAACTCTGATGTCTAGGTCCTGAGCCCTTTCAGATAGGATTTGCATAAATCAGCATGCAAATGTAACACAAGTTCCTGGGACAGCTGAGAGTGAGGACAGTGCTGGTGGGATGCAGGAGCCACCAATGTTCTCTATCTGACCAGTTACACGAACACTGGCCACCCACCGGAGAACGACACTAGCCAACAATGACAGAAATCATAATTATCAAGTGAGGCTCATGCATATATCCCAATGAACAAGGACAGTGAGAGGGTTTTCCACTCAAGTGGTTTCTGTGTGACTTTGTAGGGATAAAAGACAAGAAGCAAGGAAGGAAGGAAGCAGAGGTCTTAGGAGATAAGAATGGAGGATTTAAGCAAAGTGGTAGCTAAAAGAGAAAAAGAAAATGTATCCTGAAATCATAAGGACAAGAAGAAAAACATAAATAAAATAAATAAAATAGGGTCAACCACATTCTTCCCCATAATTTGCAAAGTCTCTGTGACCAGGGTTCAATTTGTAATGATGCCAACAATTAATCCTATCATCCACTATATTTGCCCCGTAGTTTTTACTTTACAGTTCACATTCATCACCTCATTTGAGCCTCACCATAACACCACAGAGCAGGCAAGACACTGAATATGACAATTCTTCAGATGATGAACAGTTAAATGTTCCTCAAGGCCACAAGGAGAAAAAATGACATAGCCACGTCTCCTGGCTTCTGGCCCTAGACTCGCTCCTTCTCCCTGTCAGGGCTATGGAGATGTTCCATGGAATTATACTTACTTCTTTACAACCACATATTCTTACTGCTTAAAAAATGCTAAAATGGCCACCAAAGATCGGTTTTGTCAGAAAATGCCTAACATAAACCTGACCTTTTCTTAATGAGCTGGGATTATTATTATTAACCAGAAGCAACACTTTGCAGCACTTAGTACCTATCTAATTTGTTACTTACAACAACTAAGTCAGTGACGTGGCCATCAGGACTTTTATCCCCATTTTACTGATGAATAAAAGGTTCAGAGGGATGCAGTCATCCACCCAAGGTCAGAAAGTGGCGGAGCTGGGACCTCCAGCTTCCCCCTCTGAAGCTGGCCTTCATTTTTCACTTATCAGTTGTAACTGTTATCACTTATCAGATAACTTATGAGATAATTATTTAGGAAATGTGTCTGGAACATGTTCCACATTTCCTCTGGAGCATCACAAGTGAGCCCTGATATTCAAGTCACCATGATTTGCTGCTCAGAAGCCTTTCAGAGTCTCTCCCCTAAGTGCCTAACATGTGCCATAATCTGACCTAGTCCTAAAGACATAATGGCAAACAGACACCATGCTTATCCTCAAGGGAAATATCACCAACACAGACTTCTGGTTACAAAGTAAGTACTCTAAAGCCTCCCGGTGGCGTAGGGGTTAAGTCTCAGCACTATCGCCCTCATAGCCTAAGTTCAATCCGCAGCCAGGGAGCTGACCCACATGGTGCAGCAGACCTCTCCTGTCATGCCTGCTGCTCCCTCAGCAGTGTATTTCCGTAGATTCACCTGTTCGGCTCCTTCCCCCACTTCCTCTGGTGAATTCTTTTACCCCCTGCATCTCTGGCCTACACCCCAGTTCTCATATGCATAAATAAATAAGAACAAATCTTTTTAAAAAGAAAGATACTATATTAGTTCTTCCTGCCTACTAACAATGGGAAGAGGCGATCACATTAGATTGGGTGAATATCTAATAGAAATAGAGTAAATTAGGTATTGTTACATTCATATTAAAAGTGGTACATTAAGTGTTTCAGTTTCTACAGAACTAGTGAAAGAAATAGAAGACTAAGAAAGAAAAAAAAACAAGTGAAATCTGGACTAATACATAGCTTTCAAATTAGTATAGGAAAAAAAGAAAAAAGAAAAGCTTAGTTATAAAACACGTACAAATAAAAAACATAAACAAGATAGAAAGTTCAAATATACCATTAATTGCAATAAATGTAAGTAGGTTAAATACAGAACTCTACAAAAGAATTTAAAACACCAAAAATATAAACTATTTATGAGACATTTTTAAAGCAAAACATCTGAAAAAAAGACTCAACATAAAGAGATGTTATTCTAGAAATATGTCCAAAGAGCTAGGTAGATGAGACAATATTATTAGCAGACAAAAATGAGAAAATGAATGACATTAAAAGAGACAGCCTGTTAATAACACATAAAGTTCACAAAAAATATTTAAGTCAGGAACTTGTAGGCCTAACATTACAACTCCAAAATACACAAAGCCAAAATGAACATAATTACAATTATGAAAGAAATAAAGAAAGATTAACTATCACCAGAGTCTTTAACATATCTTTGTGTCAGTCATCTATAGCTCAAGTAAATAAACCCAGAAAACTACAGAAGAAAAAGATATAAAAGAAGATTGGAAAGGAGGAAATCAAAATTATTCACAGGTCATGACTGCATGCACAGCAAAACAAGAATAATCTTCAGATAAGTTATCAGATATAAATGAGTTTAACAAGGTTGGTAGATACAAGATTGATACACAAAAAGCAATTCTTTGTCTATGCATTGGCAATAAGCATTATAAACTAACATTTCTAAAAGAAATTATTTACAAGAACACTGAAAATGTCAAAATGAAGGTATAAATCTCATGAAAGGTGAACAACTGCCCTGGCACTCATACACACAAACTATAAATTACTGAGAGTACTTAAAGAAAACTAAACAAATTGGTGTAATATACCCTATCTGTGGACTGGCAAACTCAACATTATAAAGGTCTCAGTTCCTCATCAAAATCCCAACAGAGGCGGCCTCCCGGTGGCCTACGGGTTAGGTCTCTGGACTATCACCTCTACTGCCTGAGTTTGATCCCCAACCTGGGAGGTAAATATAGCAGTGCATTTTAGTAGATCTGTCTGTTCTACCTGTCTCTGGTGAATCTTGTCCCCCTCCCTCTGCACCTCTAGTCTACACCCCAGTTCTTCTATGTATAAATGAATAAATAAATAAATAAATCCAACAGATGTGTTGCTGTGGCAAAGCATGGGAGGTGGGAGAAATCAACAAACTCTGAATCTAGAATTTCTATGAAAATACCAAGGATCAAGATTAACTAGACATTCTGGAAGAACAGGTACGTAAAACTGTTCTATTGTGGATCAAGGCTGAGAATAAATAACAGAGTGTGCACTGACCTATGAACCAATGAGGGGAGCAACAGAAAAACGTAAGGTGCAGAAACTGCAGACACCACTGATGACTCAAGCAGTACAGCACGCCACTTCCGGAAAGAATAATCTTTTCCATAGACAGTGTTACCTCAACAGGATGCCCAACTGAAGAAAACAAAACTTTTCTAGGAACTAACAAAGGAAAACATCTTTTCACCCTTCAGAAAGGGTATGAAAACAAAAATTATACCACAGATTAACACTGGACTACAGTGAGACATTAAAAAAACAAGCCATATCTTACTCCTAAGACACTTACATGACAGATAACTAAGGAAAGGTCCCTATGCAGAATATTCCTACAAAAAACATTTACGAATTAGTAAAAAATAAACTAGGGAGAGAAGGGAAGAAAGGAAGAGAAAAGCACGATAAGAGAGGATCAGGCAAGAGACTTGAGCTGAAAAAACTTTACCAAAGAAGAGATGTAAGTAGTCATAAACATTTGACGAAAGTACTTAACACCACTAGTCTTCTAGAAATGTACATTAAAACATGCCAGCCTTGTGCACCAACCAAGTGATTAACATTTTTTTAAATTACTAACAAGTTGTTGACAAGGATGTGTAACAGTTCCCCTACTTGCTGGCTGGACTATAAAATGACTAACAGCTATGGGGGGGGGGGGGGGGAGAGCCTTTATCTGTTGCACTTTAGAAAACACATACCCGGCACTCCTTGGTGACGCAGCAGGCTGGAGTGCTGCACTACGAAGCCAAGCCAGGGCTGCCTCAGTGTGAGTTTGATCCCCACCCCGGAGGTGGTCCACATGGCGCAGCAGACTTCTCCTGTCTCGCCGGCTGCTCCCCTCAGCAGTGTACTTCATCAATCTGCCTGTTCTGCTCCCCACTCTGTCTCTGGTGAATCTTCTCACCACCCCTGTATCTCTGTCCTATACCCCCCATTTCTGTATGAGTAAGTAAATAAAATCTTTTCTAAAAAAAATAAAAACACATGGCCCTCCCTGGTGGCGCAGCGGGTTAAAGCACAGCACTGAGAAGCTAAAGCCCTTTCCGCATGAGTTCGATTCCCGCCTGCTCCGGAGAACACATGGCGTGGCAGACCTCTCCTGACCCGCCCGCTGCTCCCCTCAGCAGTGTACTTCGTCAATCTGCCTGTTCTGCTCCCCACTCTGTCTCTGGTGAAGCCTCTCGCTGCCCCTGCACCTCTGGCCTCTACCCCAGTTCTGTATGCATAAATAAATAAATCTTTAAAAGAAAAAAAAAACATATACCCTATGACCTAGCAATTATATTCCTGTCAACAGCTACAACAGAGGCACATACACACACATCCTAAGAGAGACATAAAACCAATCCCAGCAGTTTTTTCTAATTGCCTAAGACTGGAACCCCAAGAACAGAAATGGAACAGATAAACTGTGAAAAGTTCATATAATGCAACAATGAACATAAACAGATCAGACGGATCTGACAAAGTGTTAAGGGAAAGAAGCCAGTCCCAGGAAGTTTATTATGTGACTCTAGTTTTATGAAGTTCCAAATCAGGCAAAACTTAAGTATGGCATTAAAATTCAAAATAACAATTTGGAGGAGGAGGTAGGAAATAGAGATTTGAAGAGAATAGAGGATTTCTTAGTGCTTATAATGTACTATTTTCTTGATTTGGGTTTTAAGCATACAGATGTTCGCCTTATGGTAATTAAATGAGTTGTAAATTTATATTTTATGTACTTTTCTGTCTTTTCTGGATTTGTCCACACTGATACAAATGACACATGAAAAAAATTCAATATTAAAATCTTAGAATTATTTTTAAACACTATCACCAGATAGCTCTAGATGATGAATTAAACTAAGAAAAGAAAAAAGGAAAAGAAAGTCTCTTTGCAAAATGTTTTGATGTGTGAATCTTCTAAAAATCACCAGTAAGCACTATATAAAGAAAGCATTCCCATTACATCTGGGGGGAAATGATGCTTGTCATTAAGGCTATTGTGCAATATTACCTTGAATTAAAGCATTCAATAAGGCAGAAGGAAAAAAGAAAAGGTATAAAAATCGCAAAAGGAAAAGCAAAACGTTCCTCATTGGTAGGTGATCTTGTCTATCTTGAAAAATATAAAATAATGAACAAACAAAATCTTCTATTTCATCACACCTAAAACATCATGTTTAAGGCCTGTCTCTGTTTTATGTACCAATCAGAAACTTTAAAATATTGTCAATCAATTTAATAATGCATTTCAATTTCAGAAGTGTTCAAATCTATACCTTAACACCACAAAGTACAGTTTCATAATAAAGATTTCAGCAGGTGCGAAATATAAAGAGCAATGAGTAAATGTAAAAGCTTTGCTACAAGTAACAACAACCAACTTTAAAGTGTAATAACAAACATTATATTCAAAAGCAATAAAACCTATAAAACAAAAAACCTGGAAACAAACCTATCAAAGAATTGAGGAATTCCTATGTATTCCTATGTCAGGAATTCTTATATGTAGAAAATTATGAAATTCAGCTCAAGGGATGAAAAGAGGGTGGATACAAACTGGTGGGACTAGTGCATATTGTAAAAATGTCACTTCCTCCTTAACCTGTAAACTCAGTGAAACACTAATCAGAATACCCACAGCATTTTTTCCTGGAATTTGACAAGCTAATTCTAAATTCCTCTGGAAGCAATCACTACCAGCAAAATTTTAAAAAAGAAGAAAGAGGCCATCCCTAGTGGCGCAGCGGGTTAAAGCACAGCACTGAGAAGCTAAAGCCACTTTCGCATGAGTCCGATTCCCGCCTGCCCCAGAGGTGACCACATGGCGTGGCAGACCTCTCCTGACCCGCCCGCTGCTCCCCTCAGCAGTGTACTTC